CCCAGTTGCATTTGGAGTGCCTTGCAACCCGAGGGGCTCATTTTCCAGCACTATATCTGACAGTGTTTCTCTGCTATTCATAAGGTTTTCAGTGACTAAATATTGGGAAATAGTTCATCACTCCTTCTTCCTAGTTTGTCTTCATCTGGAAGCTCATCTGAAACCTGTTCACCATGGGTGACCCTGATGGTATTTAAAATATCCATGGCATAGCTTTCAGAATCACAGCAACTCACAAGCCACTATAGTATGATAAACTGACAGGTGAGTGGTGGGTCATAGGGTATTAGTTGTGTTATTTTCCACACTATTGTGGTTTTTCTCTTTTTCATTCTATCTCCAACAGTGATTATTTCATATATCTTAATGCTGTTTCCTGCCACACATAGGTTCATTTAACTGTGTTTATATTATAGATTTTGCATGTTAATCAATATAAACTTGACCTACTTTGTTCCATTTAATTATGTTTGTCCTGAGTTCTAATTTATCCAGTGTGATTCTTGCCACTTTGGTGTCCTTTTATTCTCACATTTGTCTGCTCTATGTTTATGTATCCTTTTATTTTAACCTCTCTGTTATTTTGTTTTCATTTTGCTTTTTGTAAGTGGTTTGTTGTTGGGCTTTGTTTTCTGATCCAATCTTAAAATCTTTATAATTTGCCTGGGTAGTAGGATATCAATGTATCTATATTTGTAGCTGAAACTGACCATAAATATAGCATTTTTTAAAAGCTACCAAAAATGTATTTATTACAGTCAAAAGTAAATATAATTAAAGAATCTTTTGAAATTGTTTTGCAGGGTCTTTTGAGACTTATATTAACCCACAGAACTGGGAAGGCTATTCTAAGATAAAACCAGAAGAGCATATCATGAAAAACGATTACTGGAATCTAGAATTGAGTTCTTTCCATAAGCTAATCCTTATTAAATGTTGTAAAGAAGAAAAGGTAGGATTTGGTGTGTTTGTGTTCTTGTACAGTACATGTAACTTTAAAACATTGTAAAATGTATATACAATTCAGTGGCATTAACTGCATTTACCACATTGTGCAACCATCACCACTATCTACTCCTAAAAGATTTCCATCAGTACCTCTTCAGTGATAACACATCTCACTCCTTCCTCTCACAGGCCCTAGTTGTTGTTGTTAAGTGTCGTCAAGTCAATTCCGACCCATAGCAACCCTGTATAGGGTTTCCAAAGAGCAGCTGGTGAGCTTGAACCACCAACCTTGCAGTCTGACGCATTATTCCACAACACTACACCAGGTACCCCTGACAACCACTAGTACACTTTGATCTCTATACATTTGCTTTTTCTT